CCAGGCCATTGAGCAACCGTCAGTTGGCAATCGGCAGTTGGCAATCATGTGCTATGCAGAAGAGGGCTCTTGGTAAGGATCACGTCAGAGAAGAGAATCAAAAGTGAAATAAAATCCCATGATCTCTAGGGAAATTTCTGAGTGGGAGACATGTGTCAACGTATGAATTCCATGACAATTAGAAGTGAAACCACTGAGAGCATTGCTCACATTTTTTCCGTCATCGAGACTTGTGGGGGAGTCTACAGGAAACCAGGGTGTCAGGAATATATGCGGAAGAAGATGGAGAACCTCTAAAATGGATTTGCCTCCTCTCCCAAGCAATTCCCCCCAGGCTATCTCTCAGGTGTCTGCCTCTCTGTTCCCATCACCATCATATATTCTGGCCCTTGGTACCTCACAATCCCTCTGACTGTTTCAATGGCTGACACTGTTCTCCTGGCTTTGTTCTCTCAGGTCTCTCAGAATGTGAACATTTATGAAACAACTAAACTCTGCCAGACTCTGTGGTATGCACTGAATGCAGTCTCCCTCAGCACTGCTCTGAGTGCACCATTTTCCTGCTCACTTTCCATCGCCTTTTGATGAGAGCTTATTTAGGTTCCACAGTTAGTCACTAAGAGCCATTGGTTCTCCTCCAGCCATGCTTTTCTTGTACCTTCCAGCGTAGGGTCTTTGAGTCACATATTTCTTTTTCCTGGATTGCTTCTGCCTTGCCTAACTCTGTCTTTGAAGGCACAGCTCAGTTTCTCCATGAACCCTCCGAATACCAGAAATAGGAAGTGATCTCTTCTGCTGGAGTTCTGTAGGTCATATAGTGGTTTAAACCACTCTTGTAATGCTTTCCACAGTGGACTGACACAGTGCTTATTTGTATATACGTCAGGGATCTGACGTATATTTATTTATGGTTCACAAGAAACCTATTTACACATGGACTGAGGACTCTCAGAGGAGAGTTAATTAATTAATCCTCAGAGGAGCCAGGCCCAAGGAGCTTGACTTAGCAAGGCCTTGGTGGGGAGAGGGGCAGGGTGCTTATGATTCATATCTCTCCTTTGCTAGAGCTCAAGTTCCTTCAGGGCAGATACCATGAATGATTCACTTATTAAAGCCTGTGATGTCCAGCATAATGTTTGACAGCAAGTGAATATTTAATAAGTATTCATGAGATAAAAGAATATTTATTGTTGTCTCCTGAGAGCAAATCTAACTATTTGCCAGGCTTTATTGCTAAAATTTTGATATAAACCCAAGATTTTCTTTTCACATGTGTGGATCTCTAGTGTGGGGTTACTGCAGAAGGTTCACAAATCCACGTCATGTCAAGAATTTTCCATAGACTGAGTAAATAAAATGCTTTGTACCTAATATGTAATGCTATATTTCAAATACATAAAGATACCATTGTGGTTGATTCTAAAAATCTACAAATATATCTAAAAAAAAAAAAAACCTTGTAAGAATCCAGATATCTTTTCCCACACAACTTCTATGATGTAGAAGGTCTGATCCTTTTGAAAACAAATGCACACACATTAAATGAAGTTCCCATTGTACAGAACCTCTGTTATGTACTGCATGTGTGTAACAGGAGCCCTGCTTAGGGAGACCTCTAGCTCGAGGGGTGGCACCTCATCCAGGTAATGCTGAGTCTCAACTTAGCGTGTACACACTTTGTTGCTGTTTGTTTATTGCTTTATTTATTCTCCACAACCGCCCTCAAGGGTTGACAAAAGAGCTACTGAATTTCTCAGAATTGACAAGGGAGAAATATATTGTGAAATATATAGGGAAGAGACAGAAATCAAACAAGAAAGGAAATAAACAGTGTAATTTCAGGGAAAAAAAATGAGAAAAGGATGTAAGAGCTATATGGGACACAATGTACAGTTCTATCAAGCATGTAATTGGAATCCTAAAAGGAGAGGAAAGAGAAAAGACTCTGAAGAAAGTCCAAGCAGGGAAAAGGGACAGAAGATGATGGTAAGGTGAGTGGGTATCTTAGCTGGGATGGTGACATTGGAGCTGAGAACTGAATGGCCAGAAGTCAGCAAGTGTAAAGGCCCTAATATAGAAAGAAGCTAGGTATGCCTGACAGATATCAAAAAGAATAGTGTGGTTGAAACATGATAAATAAGAATGAGATCAGAATAAAATACAGTTGAAGGACAGGCAGGTAGGGCATTGTGGCTTATAAGTTTCCAGAAGAATAGGATTCACCAAACATGCTTTTGCTTCCCCACATTTCCCAATCCCTTTAACCAAAGCACAAAGTGGATTATTAAGTGGGTCCATGAGATTACCGCTAGTCAATGGACTAGGGGCAGAAGTGATTTGTATCCTTTCTGGGCCAAAGCATCAAAAAGCTGGCACAGGAATGTCGAGCTGTTTCTTTCTTCAAGTGACAGAGCCAGATGGTCAGAGTAGATTGAATCACTGAGTTGCAACATGAAGACGGTTGCCCTCATGAGTCATGCAGACTGGCAGTAGACTTTAAGAGAGAAATAAACATTTGTGCTATGAAGTCATAATAAGCTCATCTTGACTAATGTCACATGGTAAGAAGTTTGGATTTTACTCTAAGTATAATAAAAGCCATTTGAAATTTTGAGCGAGAGAGTGATGAGATCATATACATGTTTAAATGACCACTATGCTGTGTGTACAATAGATTATGGGGAAGAGAGACAGGAGAAATAGGGAACCAGTTGTAAGTCCATTGAGGTTAATCCAGGTATGAAATAATAGCCTGAAATCAGTGGTAGCAGTGAAGGTGGTGAATTGAATTCAGGATATGTTTTGAAAATAGAACTAAGATAAATGGAAAGACTCCAAGGTTTTGGTCATGGGCAACTGACTGAAAAAGAAGACAGAGTAGAAGGTAACATGGGTGGAGTGGGAACCAAGAGTTATAAAGCTTTCTGGGTTTAAAGATCTCTTCCAAGAATAGGAAAGAAGAAAGAGTACTTCCTAACTCCTTTTACAAAGTCAGCATAACCCTGATATCAAACCTGACAATGATATTACAAGATACATATTTGTAAAAGTCCTAATATATATATATATATATATATATATATATATATATATATATATATATATACATATATATACATATATATATATATATTTGCAAACTAAGTTCAGATATAGACAAAGAGGAAAATACAACATAATAAAATTGGATTTCCTCCAGAATGCATGGTTGTTTTAATATTCACATATCTATTGATGTAATTCATTAACAGAATAAGGGAGAAAAATAATCTCCATAAATGCAGAAAATCATTTAATGAAATTCAATACTCATCCCTGATTTAAAAAAAAAACAGCAAATTAGGAAAAGAACTTCTTTAATCTGATAGGGGCAATATAAAAATCTAATAGCACACATTATACTTAATAATGAAATATTGAAAATATTTTCCTTAAAGTCAGATATGAGAGAAGGATGTCTTCATTATCCCTTCCATTCATCCCTGTACTATAGATCCTACCCAGAAAAACAAGGAATCAAAAGAAAAATAAGGAGGAGAAAGAGGAGGAGGAGTGAGGGGGAAGGTATAGGTTAGGAAGGAAGAAATAAAACCATCATTATTTACGGATGATATATGTGAATCTGTGGAAAATCCTGAAGACTCCCTGAATTAATTATTAGAAGTGATAAGTGAATTTATCAAGATCACTGAATTAAAGTTAAAGATACAAAACATCAATTATATTTCTATATGCTAGAATTTTCACTCATGTGTGGATCTTGAGAAACTTAACAGAAGACCATGGGGGAAGGGAAGGGGGAAAAATAGTTACAAACAGAGAGGGAGGGAGGCACACCACAAGAGACTCTTAAATACAGAGAACAAACTGAGGGTGGATGGGGCGGGTGAGAGAGAAGGAAAAATGGGTGATGGGCATTAAGAAGGGCACTTGGGATGAGCACTGGGTGTTGTACATAAGCCAATTTGACAATAAATTATATTCATTAAAAAAAGTCACTGTTTTAGGTATGAATGTTATAGGACAATAGATAACCAGAATATATGTTGAAGTATTTAGGGGAAAAGTAAAATAGAATATATTAAATTTATAAACCCACTTAAAACTATGAAAGGAAATTTAATTAACTAAGTTTTTTTTTTTT